TATTTAAAATTAAATTTCTTGTTAAATTAAATTATCTTTTAATTATTTTAATGAAATACAATAATTTAAAATTAAAATTCATGGGTTAAAGGATGTATTTAAAATTCATATAATTTTAATTTTAAAATACAAAATTTTAAATACATGTATTTAAACGAAATTCAAATACAGTAAAAATAAGTAATGTATTTAAATTTAAAATTTTAAATTCAAATACACTCTAACTAAATTCAAATTCCCAAACATACTGTTAATATAACACTAGTTGGATTGAAAACATGTCATCTCCTTCAGAACTAATAGATTTAGAGATTAAATCGTGATCAATGAAGGAATATTTGAAAAATATTAAAAATTAGCATGAAACTAAAATAAATTCTTGTTTATAAATATTTGAACTCATAATATCATTTTTTTTTTTTGTTCATTTTACCTATCCACATGCCCCAATTTTTAGAGATTTCAATATCAGTTTTGATATCAACATAAGATCACTTTATAGTTATTAATAATGGAGAGAGGAGAACCATTCACCGCAGAAATATCGAGATCTTAAAAAAAAAAGAAAAAAAAGGGCTATGATTAGTAATTAATTTGGTGACAGTAGTCATATATACAGAAAAAGTAGAAAAAGTCAAGAACATCTTGCAGGACGATGTATTAGTGTCAAAAATGTCGATTTCAGGTCCCCATCAAGTGGAGAAATTTAGATATTGCCTGCAATCTCTTCTACTGCAACTCATGATGAAAAACTGAAACTCTATCCCCCCTCAATCGTGGATTTCAGCTCAAGCTTCTGGGAAGGACTGCAGTTTAATTTAATTAGGATTTTCCAAACCATTTGATTCAGATCAGGAAGAGGAATGCAGCCATGCAGCAACAGAGAACCTGTTGAACAAAATGAATGTTATTAAGAACCTGTGTAATTCTAAACAAAGTCAATTCACACCAGGGAACCAATAAATGAGGCCACAAGTAAAGCACTCATCACTTGCTACTGCATATAAAAGACAAACAAGTACCATTTCTAAGTTCAGAGCAAACTAATTGGCTCATAAATGTCAGGCAATTACAAACTTGTCACTTCATATGGTTATTAAAGAAATATACTAATTAAATATGCAGGGCTAAATTACAACAGAAAGAAAGAAAAACCCACCTGCCCTACACTCAAGAATGTACAAGCTGGCACTGGAGTCTGTCAGGAATTCGCTCCTTCAAACCCCTATAGACATCAGCCCAGAGATAAATTATCAGCAAATTTAAGTCATTTTCATAACACCAACTAAAAGATTTCCCTGTTCAAGATGAAAATTATATATCAATGAAGAATGACTAATTCCAACTAAAAATCAAGAAGCATAACAGGTCACAAAGAGGAAACCCTATTTCCTGCACCATGCTCAATTGCAGTTCTAATGCATTTCAGCAAATAAGGAGGTGAGCTTTGGGGAAGAGAAAAACCTGGAGCTTATGAAGGTGCAGGGCTCTCCACCACTCTCACCAGCATTTTATGATTGTGACATATGCTATATGAGAGATTAAGCACCTCTTCCCACCTGTTGACTTTGATGAGCCCTTTAATAAGGTGAACAAATGTGCTTAGCTCAGGAATGCCACCCTTCCTTATCATGTCTCCATACAGTTCAAAAGCCTCATTCACTTTTCCAGCTAGAGAAAGGCTACTAATCAAAGCATCATTGATGCTCTTAATGGCAGCTGAGAATGATGAAAATGATTCAATCTCTTTGTATAGCTCCAAAGCCACCTCCAGTCTATCAGCTTTTAACAAATTATCAATCAGAATCCTATAAACAGGAACAATTGGCACGGATTCTGTTTTATTCATCTCATCTAAGATTCCCAAAGAGTCAAGGAACTCTCTGTTGAACCCTTCAATGACCTTCCGATAGCTTGACATGTGCTTTGGCCAGTAGGTCTGTTTCATCTCATCCAAAAGCTCACAAGCCTCATCTAAGAGGCCAGCAACACAACAGTGCTTTATTAAAACACTGTATGTGATGAAATTTGGTGCACAACCCTTGGAACCCATTTCTCTTAAAAGCTTGAGGCATTTGTCAACCTTGCTTTCTTTACCAAAGCCATCAATCATTGCTGTGTAAGTCACAACATTTGGACAACACCCTTTTTCTTCCATCATCAACATAAGCTTGTAGGCTTCATCAGTTTTGCCAGACTTGCAAAGGCCATCAATAATCTCTGTGTAAATAACAACATTAGGGGCACAAGAATTTTCAAGCATTTTGGACAAGACTTTTAAAGCAAGATCCAAACGCTTATCTTTAAACAATCTGTCAATCAATGAGCTGTAGGTATAAACATTTGCACTGTAACCATCCTTAGACATCATTGCAAACACCTCTTGTGCTTCATCTAGCTTTCCAACCTTGCAAAATCCGTCTATAAGTGCATCATAGAGAATCTGGTTTGGCTTACAACCTGCTGCTGGCATGGCATCCAATAACTCACGAGCTTCCTTGACCTTGTAAACCTTGCATAAACCATTCACTAAAGCTCCATATGTGTAAACATTTGGTTCTTTTGCTTCACCATCACCCACACTAAAATATAAATCTAAATTAGGGATTTCCACATCACCACACATTCTTGCATAAATCTGGCAGGCTTTCTCAATCTGTCCAGCTTTACAATGACCATCAATCAATGCTGTGTATGTAATGATAGTAGGTTTGCAGCCTTGGGATAACATCATCTGAAAGAGCTCATCTGCAATAGAGACCTTCTTTGCTTTAAGGTAAGCGTGTATCATTGCAGTGTAAGTCACCACATTAGGGGTACAACCAGTCCTTACCATTTCATCAAACCAATTACGTGCCTGTTCAATAAGACCGAATTTACAAAAGCTATCAATTAAGACTGTATACGTATATACATCAGGGACAAGACCACCCTTCTTCATTTCTTCAAATAATTGGAAAGCCTTTTCAACTTTGCAAGAATTGCAGAGATACATGATGACTTTGGAATATGTGCTAGTATCAGGTATAAAACCCTTACTCATCATCTCACGGATTATGTTATATGCTTTCTCAAATTTTCCAGCAGCACAAAGACATCGTGCAAAGTTGCTGACATTGATCTTATTGAGAACAATTCCAGCATCAAGCATTTCACTATATGCCTTCTCAGCTAATTCTAGCACATCTGAGCTAGGCAACTCCTCATTGCCACAAATGCCACCTATCAATATGTTGTAAACCACATAGCCTGGCTGGCACCCACATTTGGCCATTTTCTTTAGCAACTTATAGGCATAGGCATGGTCTCCTGATCTGCAAAAAGCATGAACAAGAGAATTAAATATCCTAGGGCTTGGATAACAACCCTCTGTAATCATCATGCTAAGAATTCTCTTACACCTACCAAGTTGTTTCTTTCTCAAACAGCCACAAAGCAAAATCCTAAACGTCACCTCATTAGGAATGCAGGAACTAGCACGCATTATGTTTAAAAAGTTCATAGCTTCTTCAAAGAGTGAAGCTTCACATAAACCAGATATCATCTGTGTATACAGCACAGTATCAGGCTTGAATTCTTCCCTCTCAATCAACTGAAGGGCTTCCCTCCACTGGCCTGCTCTACAAAGGGAATATGTGTAACAGCCTATCGTATAGCCATCCATTCTAAAGCCGGAATCTGACATCTCTCTGTGAACCAAATGAGCTGTGTCTAATCTATCAGCTCTTAGAAATACTTGAATCAGTGCACAATAAGTTCTTCTAGACGGCCGGTACCCCAAATCTTTAAGCCTACCTAACTCCTCCAGTGCAACATTCCACAGCCCATGATGACAACATCTTTGAACCAATATACCAAACAACTTTCCAAGCACCTCCTTGTCATCATCTCTAATTTCACGCAAAAACTGCTCCGGGATTCTATCACTATTGCCACATTCCATCAAATCTAGCAACGCATAATACACAGGCAGAGTATGAGTGTACCCAATTTGCCTCCCTACCCAAAGAAAAAACTTTACACCCAATTCAGGTCTCTTTATCAAATTCAACACTTGAGCAACTAAAATCCCATTCATTTTCTCTCTAAACTGCCTAAGAAACTTCTGGGTTTTGTCTCCAAACTCATCATTATTAGTCAAAATAGCATTGGCAATGATGGCAGCATCGTTTGAAGACTTACCCACTTCAATTTTTTGCTCTGAGTCAGCGGCAGAACGAAGCAAAGAGTCCCGCAAAAAGGCAAATTCTTCTGAAACTGACTCGAACTGAGATGCCCCCACCGAAAACGGGTCCCCTGGATCGACCAATCCCTCGAGGTTGTTCTGTGTAGAGGTAGAAATGAACCTCGCTGTCAAAGAGAAGCGCTTTTGGCCGCAGATACGGGCACCGAAACAGCCCAACAGAGACGGAACCGAGAAAGAGAAAGGAGGAGCCTTGAGCAGACTCCTGGCCATTGTTTAGTTAGGGGAACTGCAGAACCATTGTTTTTCTTGATGAACCGAATCAAAATCTCAGAGCACTTCAGCTCCCAAAGACAAATAAGCACAAATTCTAAGTGGTGAAGTTAAAATATTGATCGAGTTCGAGTTTGAACTTTGAAAGCTTAACTTACAATATCTGTAAAGTTTTCTTGCATTCCCAATATTTTCAGATTTTACAGGGACTAAGAAGCATTTTTCACCTTTTTCCTATTTTCCCATACGGAAATTTAGTGATATATAAGCAATATTTTGGTATAACCTTTTTTTGAAAATATTATTAAATAAATATATATTTTTTATATTATAAAATTTAAACAAATAAAAAATAATAATTATTTAAATAATATATAAATTAATATAAAAAATTATCTCTTGAATCATTTTTCATTGTTTTTTAGCTTGGACTCCTTTGTCCGGAATTCATTATTCGTCAAAAGCATATAATTATTTTTATTAAGAGTTATAATTTTTTTCTTGCCTACTCAAAACTGGAAAACTGCAAAAGGTTTCTCTCTTTGCAAAATTTTCAAATATTTTCAGTTCCAGGAGAAATTTTCATCTAAATTATGTAGGCTCCCTTTAATATTTTTTTGGTTTTCGAGTTTTTAGTTTGGTTCTAAAAAATTTTTAAACAGTTGAAAAAAACACTAAAACAAAAAATTGATAATTTGTTTAATATAAATTTTAATGTTGACAACTAAAATATAAATTTATTTAACAGTATTAAAATTATTATATTTTAAAATCATAATAATATGTTAAATATCATATATAAACTTAACAAGTTGCTTGTTTAAAGTTTCAAAATTTACAAAATATAAAAATAAAATTAATAATATAAAACCACAAACATAAAAGTTTTAATTTTCTTAGCTGAGACGGTTAGACCTAAGTTTTTTATATAATACATAGAGAGGACCAACAACGGTTGACTTTAACGAAAAAAATTTAATTTTTTTAAAATAAAATCTTAAATTTGAATATTGTTAATAAAAAAAACAGATCATTGAAAACTTGCTTGCAATTTATTTGTTAAGAAACTGATTATAGGGGTTTGATATAGGATGATAAATAATAATAATAATAATAATAACAATAACATGAATTACCACGGTTTCAACATAGAAATGCGAATCTTCGGAATTTCATGTTGTTGAGAAGAAAACGTCAGATAATCAAAATAAACTAAGATTAATAACTATTAATTTGATGTCATAATCATATATGCAAAAGTAGAAAATTCAAGAACATCTATCTACGAGGAGGATTTACTAATGTCAAATATGTGCATCAACAGGCCCACACCAAGTGGATAAATTCAGATATTGCCCGCAACCTGTTTTACTGCAGCTCATAAGATGAAAAACTAAATCCTGATCTGCCCTCATTGGTGGATATAAGCTCAAGCTTCTGGAAAGGACTGCAGTTTAATTTAATTACGATTTGTCAGAACGTTTGATTCAAATGGGGAAGAAAGATGCAGGAAGTGAAGAGTTTGAAAAAAATCAATGTCATGGGAAGCAGCAGGAAATCTACTTATGAACATATTCCATTTTCCATCAAAGAAGTATTACTCATCTTGCTGAAGATAAGAGAAAGGAGTCTGAATAATCAATATGTTTTTAAAGTATGTCGAGGTAAATGATGAAATATACCTGCTATTAGGATCATAGTAGAAGCCATTGATGGAACCATCGCTGCAAGAGAAGCAGACATAGTAAAAACCTGCTATGGTTAACCCGCAGTCTGTTCCAACATTTACAAAGTATTGCTCTTTCCATCTCTGTGACAGAGAATCATAGAAACACCAAGTTAATGTTTACTAATAACTTTCACCAATTCTGGAAATAACATGATGAAATTACCATAAAAATGTGTTGACAGTTACTCAGGTCCAGAGATTTTCCACCATCAGCTTCCACTTTACTCTGAAAGGAAAAGACCAAGCATGTCAGTACAGGTTTTGCATGTCAAGTTCATGTTCTAGGTTACAGCCCATTACCGAGAGGGGTGCAAAGGATGGAAACTTTGTCCAGTGCTTTATATCATCCTCTGGCCTGTTAAAAAGATTAACTTGATTAATTAGATGAAGTGGTTTATATCAAATGTTTCCAACCTCTTTGGCAAGAATAACTGAGATCAACATCACAAGGCTGCTTGCCATCAATGATATGCAACGAGGCTTGGTGATCAAAGTAAAAGAAAGAAATAAGAAACTTACGTTGCTTCCCATTTTCCAGTGTAGAAAGTATAGTTCTTCATATCAACAATCTCCCCTTCCCAGAAGGTCACAACCTGAGAAACATTGCAAAGAGTACAAAATTGTAAAAAGATGTCAGAAAGACATTTGGCAAATTTGAAAAAGATTCCATAGTTCTGAACATTACATAACATCTGTGTCCATGCTCAAGATATCAAATAAATTAAAAAAATATTGTCCACAAATTAATTTAAACTGTCCCTAATATGTATTAATTTGACTACTTTAACAATGAGCATGGATGAAGATTAGAAACAAATAGTCAAGAAATTTAGCATATCCAGGTAATTTTACAGTGAGAAAAGGATGGTCCAGTAAGATAACATAGCTTTAAGCTGTTGATAATATAATATCAGAAGAAAATGTGATTGCAAAAGGCTAACTAACACATAATAACCTTTTCAAAATGTCTTCAAAAAAATTTGCAAATATTTGCTGGAAAAGGGTGCACTAATATAACCAAAATTATACACAGGACCTAGAAGTTGTTGCAAGAAGAAAACAACTTACTGGTGTGTCAGCCATAGGAACATTTAAAGCTTCCATGGTGCCACAGAGATACCCATGTTCAAGGTCACATCCTTGTATGCGGACATTAACTCTCCAAGCTTCCTCCTTTTGTAGACTAGAAACATTCTGAGTACCTGTAAAGGCCTGCAACAAAAATATGCTGTCATATATAGAAGTGCTTCAACAAATTAGAAAGTTATGTCAACTATATTAACAACAAAGGAGATTCCCCATTCAACTGCACCAGACCACCAGTACTGCAACAAAGGAAAGAGAAGAAAAAAAAAAAAAAAAAAAAAAAAAAAAAGGGCAGCTTGGTTACAACTCAGATAAAGAAACATTCAGGAAAATTACAGTTAACTTGGTTAACAAGGTGATGCAATTGTGTGTGTGGGTCTCATTGCGAACTTTGGGGTTTGCATCACACGGGAGATCAGAAGGCTTATTGAAAATGCACCATGCATTAGAGCAAATCTGATTTCTGAAAATCAAATTAATCACATGAAACACTAGTCAGATATTTTAATCCCTATGAATAGCTAAAATTAGAGCACCATACATCGCAATATCATAAAAGAGATGAGATCATTTGAAATAGCACCAAGGTATCGAAACAACATTTGCCATGAACCTCTATTCTAAACCGGCTCAATTCACACCAAGCAACCAATATATGAAGTCAAAAGTATATCAATAATAACAAGCTGCTAGATATAAAAACCGAAAACAACCACATGATCTCGATGCAGATACAACTAATTGACATATAAATGTCAAGCAATTACAAACTACTGCATTTAGTAATTAAACAGGCATAACAAATTCAATATGCAGGCTATATCAACAAAAGGAGTGGAAAGCCCACCTGCCCTACACTCAAGAGCGTACAAGCTTGCAATGAAGTCTGTCCAGAATTCGCACCTTCAAAAGGAAGTTCAACACCCACCATATTAGCCCAATGATACAATTTTTGCAATTTAAATGATTCTAACACCAAGTAGAAGATTTCCCAGTTTAATTGAATCAAAAGTACGAAAGATCAAGATTCCATATCAATGAAGAAAGAAACTAAATCCAACCGAGAGTCAAGAAGAACAATGGGTCGCGAAGGAAACCCTATCTCCTGCACTGCAATCGATTACAGCGAAAAAGGGGATGGGCTTCGGGGAAAGAGAAATACCTGAAACCTGAGAAGGTGCAGAGGTTTCCGCGACTCTCACCGGCATTTTTTTGATGAACTTGAAATCCTGAAGTCAGTGACTGAAAACTGCCGTTCGGCAGGGTCGCGTTTTCACTTGCGTGTTGGAAGAAAGCTGAAGGGTAAATTTAAGTTTCTTCCCTAATGTTCTAGTGAATCTCCAATTCAGTCCACAACTTTTCCTATTAATTAGTCACTGAAATCTATAAATGGACGAATTGAATCCTGAATCCCCCTTTTTTTTTTTTTTATTGGAAAAAGTCCTGAATCGTAGACTTGTTAGCTTTGAGTACCCACGCCACCTAACAATTACATATATATATATATATATATATTTATATTAGGTTATATGATGAGTTTTTCTTATTTTTTAATTTATTTATACTTCATCCGATTCAAATTCGTAATTTTTTATTTTTAAAGAAAACTATAACTCAATTAATTAGATTATTAGCACTAACAATTGTATCTTAAAATTAAGTCTTATTATATATATAATGGTTAGTTATTTTAATTTAGTAATAAACATGAATTGTATTAGTGTTAATTACTCATTTGATGATGTGTAGGTGTTATTAAATTTTGTTAGGAAAGAGCAGGTTTTTTTGTATAATGGTTAGGCAATACTATGAGTTTAGTTTTATACATTATATTAAATCTACTTCTTTTCAGTAAGAGGAATATTATTAAAGGGTTTGTTTATCATGTATCCAAAGCAATTATTAATCAGTAATAATTATAATTTTTTATTAAAAATGAAATTTTATATTAAAAAATAATTTTTAATTTTTAATTTAAATTTA